GGGGGGGGGGGGGGGGGGGGGGGGGCGTGCATTTCAGGACTCAGTGTCTGGGCAGCTGAAAGCACGGCCAGCAATAGTGGAGTCATTAACATTGAGGAGAGGTAGCAGGCCATGAGACTATTAGATGTAGAAGCTGAAGTAGGCTATTCAGCCCACTAAGCCTGCTCCACCTTTCAATAAGATCATGGCTGATCTGATAATCCCCAACTCCATTGCCTTTTCCTCAAAACTCTTGATTCTCTTACTAATTAAAACTTTGACTATCTCGGCCTTGAATATACTTAATGACTAAGTCTCAACAGCTCTCTTCAGTAAAGAATTTCACAGATTCACTATCCTCAGAAGTAATTCCTCCTCATCTGTTTTAAATGTACAACTCCTTACTCTGAGATATACCCTTTGGTCTTCAAGGGAAAACAACCTTTCACACCTATCTTGTCAAATTCCTTAAGAATCTTGTATATTGTAGTAAGGTCACCTCTCACTCCTCTATTTTCCAATGAATACAGACAGGATCAACCTACATAACCTCTCCAAGAAGAAAATTCCTCTGTACCTTGTATCAGCCCAGTGACGCTTCTCTGGACTGTCTCCAATGTCTGTGTATATTTCCTTTGATAAGAAGCCCAAAACTATTCAGTTTTCCAGGTTATGTAGATTGACTCTTAAGAAGCTTAATATGAACGCATCACCCTTTTACAGAGAGTTCTGTTTCACTTTTAATTCAATTAGACATTTTGAAACATTACCATCCTGTAGCATTCAACATTCCTAATCCTAGGCTTTGGCCCAACATTCACTGACATTTCTGCAATGACTGATGTGATCAACCACATATTTATCTGCACCGCTGTTGCCAAGTACCTTAAAACCAATACTCTTCTTCGGTCTGGTCATTCTCCCGAGTACAGCAATCATTTCCACTCTCTTGTATCCAACAGATGCAAACTTGAACATCTGTGGTCAGCAACCGGTTTAGGCATTTATTACAGGCAGTAAAACTAGTGAGCAAGGCATATATTGCTTATGATGAAATGTAATAGAATTTGAATCATTGTGATTTCTACATTGCAGAAATCAGGTGTTGGGGCAAGAGGAGAATCCTCGATCAAGGGCAATTCGTGCCTGATCAAGGGACTGGACATTGGCAAGTATGGGGTTTTTCCCCCTCTGGCTGTCAGGTATCCCCAGGCAGGGTTTGGTCAGCATAGACAAGTCGGACCAAAGAGTCTGTTTCCTTGTTATATGACTATATGTAAGATATGAGAGAAGAGCAGGAATTGGGACTACATGAATTACTCTTTCATGGAGCTGCCATAGGCACAAGAGTGTAATGGCTTCCCACTGCACTGTAGCATGCTAGGATTTGCCAAGTTAGCCCCAATTTAAAACACTGTTATTCCCTGATTCCAATTAAGATGGTCGGTATTTGACAACACAACCCTTATTATGGCATTTGGGGGGTGGGTGGGGATCACAGAATGATACAACCGCAGATGAAAAGTGCAAGTCAGGACACCTCCTTTTGCTGATAGCACTAATTGTACAAAGTAAAAGAGTCAACTTACTGTGATAGGAGACTGGATGCTGGTAGCATAAGGCAGCCGTGGTGGTGTCAAGTAATATCTGGAAGGTCGCTGCTTCTGAGCGAAGGCAGTGATAGGCATGGTTTCATGAGGCTCGTTGCTCTGAGGGGGACAGCAGAAATAAATTAAAATTTTCAACTCAAATAGAAATGTGGACTTTTTCAAAACTCATTTATACAGCAATGAAGGAGAGCAGCAGTGTAGATTACAATATTGACCTAAGAAGTTATGAGTTCAAATCCCCAGCATGATGATTGGAGTCATAAATACATGCAGTCCCCTGTTGTGACTGGGTCCTGTTCCTGTGTCTATTCACAAGTGGATTTGCAAGCAAATCAGAACACAACGCAGGACAATGTTCTGAGGAAGGGTCACCGGACCCGAAACGTTAACTCTGTGTTCTCCTTCACAGATGCTGCCAGACCTGCTGAGCTTTTCCAGCAACTTTGTTTTTGTGCAGGACAATATAAAGCAGCCGTTTGTAAGTATAGGAAATGTTTGCATGTCAGATATTTAAAATTCGGACGTTTGTAAATTGAGGACCCCTGTACAATAAATTGTGTGTACTGTAGGCTGGTATTATAAAAAAAGAAAATGATCATGAGGACCTCTTAGACTGTAGTTCAAAAACTCAATGGATTTACGTGTCTTTCAGAGAATGGAACCTGATACTTTCTCTGTTCTGGGCCCACAAGTAACTCAGGTCCCATCCACATAGTCAACATTTTAAGTTGCCTGCATGACTGTGCAAGCCTGCACAAATAATTATTGAAGACCTAGCACCAGCTTTACAAACTAGTTAGATCACAGCTGGAATGCTGTGAACCATTTTGGTCCTCTTATAGATATACTGATTGGAGGCAGTCCAGATAAAATTGACTAGGTTCATCCCGGGTATGGGATGTGTCGAAAGAGGGGTTCAGCTGGCAACAAGTAACGGATTGGTCTGTGGTCTACTGACCAGTTATGGATGACAAAGGCCTTCTGCCTGCCAACAACAATATGATTGGCTCCCAGATAGCTGAACAGCGCGGGGATGCGAGAAGCCATCAGGTCTCTGCTCAGGAGCAGTCTCTGTTCTCAGCAGAAAAAAAACTTTAAGCCTTATGAAAGCTACTTCATCTCTTTTCTTCAGCGTTGCTGCAAGCGGTGACCTTTAATTAGTAAGTCAGAGACCTTTATAATTGTGAACCAGTCATCCTGTGTCTCCTACAAGCCAGTGAAAACACCAGAGAAGGACGATTGAGAAGCAGGATTCTGAACAACATGAAAGTCATCTCACCAAATCATCTTAATAGGAATGATTAAATTGCTTTCCCAGTCTTTCCCTCTGTCCATTACCCTCATTTTTTTCTTGTATGTCTGTGTGTCTCTCTCCTTTATCTATAAGTAGAGGGGAAGTTCATAAGAGGTCAAGAGCTTAAACTAGTAAAGTTACATCCAATGCTTCATAATTGTTTATTTGTAGCTACAGTCTATTTATCAGAGGTAAGTAGTAATTCTTGTTAAGTATATAAAGGTAACTTGGGGAATTCTGTATACATATTTTAAATGTTTAACTTTTGTGATGATTCTGATAATATGGAGCTTGGTTTCCAGGACACAACCTCAGTGAGGCATGGTAATGTGTCCAAGGGGTTTAATGACAAACTTATATATTTTTGTAGCCATGGTGTTTTCTTTTAAAACACAGTATTAGAAAGAGACTTCCTGCAGAGTAATGGGGATTTGTTTACATTGGGCGAATTTACACGTGAACAAAGTAAACATCATTGTGCATTAGGTCTCCACATAGAAGATGTTGGATTTTTTTCTGGCTTAGGCTAACATAAGGGCATGGGGATAGTGCTGGAATATGGCATTGAGGTAGATGATGAACTATGACTGAAAATGATGGGGAAGGCATGAGGGGCTGAAAGCTCTCTCCTGCTCTGAAGGAGAGATGTGAAGGCTTTAGAGTGGTGTAGAAAAGATCGGTATCACATAGACAACAAGAAAACAGGAGCAGAGTAAGTCATTCAAGCCTGCTCCGGGTGTTTCCAGGGATGAGAACATCGTTAAGTAGATTGGAAAGGTTGGGGATTGTCCTCTTTGTAGGCAGTTGATGTATCGCATAGAAAGAGGTGTTCACAATCATTAGTAGCCTGAGCTGAGCAGCCAGGGTAAAATTGTTCCCATTGGTCGAAAGGTTGGGAACCAGAGCATATTAACTTTTAGGTAACTAAATAAAAAAGGAAAGTTCTGGTAAAATAAACTAGCTTTGCTTCTCACCTTTGAGAAATGTCCACATAAAAATAAGCAGATAGTTATTTACTTACAAGAACTTCATAATCAGGTACAGTGTGTGTTCCCAGTCCTGTCCTGTCAAACGTGACTCGGTATGTGGCGTTAATAGTGTCAACAGCATCGATCTGTCCCGTAAACAGGCCATCGTGAAAACCTCGAAGTCGTGCTAAAGCGTCGTGTGACAGAGTGGAGAAATGATGGCAAACTTAACCAAGGTCTAACAATGTTACTGAAATGACAACTCATTATTTTATTGCTAGCAACGAGCCAACCTGATAAACTGTGGCCTTTGGTAGGCTTTCATAAAACACAGGCCCACTTTGAGATCACAGCCGATCTAAAATCCTCATCCCCACTTTCATGCCTTTTCCCGATAACCTTTGATCCCCTTACGTTCTGTCTCGCTTAATGACTCTACAGAACTCCGCAATAAAAGAATTCCACACATTGACTATCTCAGAGAAGACGATCTTCCTCATCTCGGTCTTAAAAGTGTGACCCCCTTATCAGATTATGTCCTCTGGTCCTAGACGCTCCCAAAGGGAAAACAACCTCTTCACATCTACCCTGTCAAATCCCTGGCGAATTCTTAAATATTTCAAAAAAATCTCCTTCTTCTAAATTCCAGTGAATACAACCCCAACCTACTCGGCCACTCATGAGAAGGAAATCCCTCCACACATGGAATCAGCCTATTGAACCTTCTCCAGACTGCATTTAATGTCAATATATCTTTTCTTAGATAATGGGCAGAAAACTATTTGCAGTATTCTATGCATGATCTGACTAGTGCAGTCAGTCAGTTTTTGCAAGACTCTCCCATCTTTATACTCTATGCCTCTGAAATAAAGGCCAACAGGCCATTTGCTTTCCCTACTACCTGCTGAACCTGCACACCAACGTTTTGTGGTTGATGTACAAGCACTCGAGTCCCTTTGTCCTGCAGCTTTCTACAGTCTTTCTCCATTTAAATAAGATTCTTCAACTCTATTCTTCCCGCCAAAATGCATAATCTCTCATTTTCCCACATTATATTCCATCTGCCAAGTCTTTTGCCCACTCAATTAATTTGACTAAATCCCTCTAAATTTTTTTACCATCATCACCACATGCCTTCCCACCTATTTTTTCCTACCGTTTCAAACTTTGCATCTGGGTTTAAACACAATAATTGGGACTATTACTGGTACTCGCAAAACATAATACCTGACATCATTCTTTTACATCATTTTTAGACCCTCTTCAGTGCTGCCATATGCTCTTTGTAATGTGGAGATCAGAGCCATGCACAGTAATTAGCAGAACAGTGCAGGGGTGATTGACTTACCGGTGACTTTTGTTCCTATAACTAGAGGCAATGGGATCTCATCTGGGAGGTCTTTGTATTGAGACAGCTCTGTCACTTTCCTCTGTTGCAGAAGTCTGATCTTCTGACGTTTGACTTGTAAGGCAGCCCGCTCTTCTGCAAAGAATGCTGCTGAACAGCTGCAGCAGAGGAGAAAGCGTTACAACTGCGTGCCACCTATATCTCCAATTTACTGGCTGCAATCGCCACTGCACCACTGTATCCACAGAGGACTTAACTCTGCGTGGGAAGTCAGGGCCAAAAAAGATTGTATTGCATTGTACTGTTCTTCATCTCCCCTAGACCCCAAGATACTGCTGTATCGAAGGGAGCCCACTGAGATGTATCACTGCAATAGGGCGGCTCTGGATTACATTGATCAGACTCACAGGTTACACACCTGTATTTATACTGGCGCGTGTGTGCACAGGCATGTGTGTGAGAAACAGAGAGATTCTGTATCTTGGTTTTTGATCAACTGACCCAACACTTCTGCATGTGGATCAGTGTCATACTTTGATTTACAATGTTCCGATGAAGTGGCTAATACACAATATACATTATTGCTGGGGTTATTATTGTAAAGCAAGTTGCTGCCTTTGTCCCTTAGCCTGCAATGCAGTCAACAAACACTAAAAAAAAAACATCAGATTCAACACTTGTTCAACTTCCTGACCCAGTCAGAGGCAGTGACTATTTGGACAATGTAGCAGCTTGATCACTTCATAGGGCAATAGGTCAGGACTGTGGAACTGGGTTTGCGAGTAGGCCAGACAGAGGTAGCAGGGTTATTTTCGCTGAAGGTAAATCAGCAAACCAGTTGGATGCATACTGAAAACCATCTGGTAGCTTTGGTATAATTCCTATTCCTCAGGCAGCTGCCCAGAGATCAAATTCACAATCCACCACGGGATTATGGAGAAATGGATTTGATGTGGAGGTGCCAATGTTGGACTGGGGTAGACAAAGTTAGAAGTCTCATGACACCAGGTCATAGTCCAACAGGTTTATTTGAAATCACAAGCTTTCGGAGCGCTCCGAAAGCTTGTGATTTCAAATAAATATGCTGGACTTTAACCTGGTGTCGTGAGACTTCCGAGATAGATTTAGGTCATGAGTTCTGAAGCAGTTATTACTCGTGTTATTACTCTTCTTGCTACACTTACCGACGGGGCTTTCCCATTAGCCTCCTGATTTTGCCCCACTCGACTCTGGTCAGTTTCCTAGTTTTTAGATTTGGGAAGGATTCTTTCAGGCACACACAGAAATCATTATCGCCCTCGAAAAGTGGCCTAGGAAACAGAATGGATTAGAACCTGCACACGAGGGATGGACAAAAAAATGTGGAGCTCGCAGAATTAAATATGAAGAAATTCAGATGAAGCATACTTGTCAATATTTGAGTAAAACCACTCATAGATGCACCACTTGTGGGCCTTGGGAAGTTTTAGCAAGTTCCTCAGGCGCAAACCGATCTTCTGGGCAACCTTCTTATCAGGCATTGCCAAGGCTGCAGAATATTTCTGATGAGAGATCAAATTTATTGATGTTTAAAAAGATTGAATCGGAATGTTCTATGAAGTTCTGACAAGAAAACCTCAAAATTCCGGAAACTATTTTTTGGGACGGGTTTTGGCTACACAGACTTGTCACACACGTGATAAAGCCAGCCCACAGTAATAGAAAGTGAAAACCTTTCGACTTTATAAACACCACGAGGAATATGTTTGACAGTCTTGTTCCCATTTCTAACAGGCAAGAATCTAAAGCCCGGAGAACCAAGGTGTGGCAATGTCAGAGGCTGTCGGATGAAAAACATCACTGTGTTGTTGAAGCAGAAATCAGCAATTTTTGATTTCATCTAAATCTTGGGCCAGGAGAGGTTCCAGGCCCAATTCCAGTCCCTGTTCTGAGCTAGGCCAGGAGCATTTCCATGGCCAGAGTCAGGCCCAATCTGAACTTGACCAGCCCAGGCCTGGTCTGGAGTGTTTGAAGTTGACACTAGGTTCTGTACTGAAAGACAAATGTCACCATTTAGCATCAACTCCCTTGAACAGAAGGAGAATAATTATTTCAGTAACCTGCTCACAATTGTCTTCAGGAGTTAAAAGCTAATCTTCAGGGTAAAACTAGCGTGTTGCTGTATAAAAAAGTTTCCGGGTTCTAGACTTGATCTGTACATAATGCAGCGGGTTCCTTAGGATAAACATTAGCAAAGAGGACATCATGCATAATTGTAGACAACTGTGACTGCATGGATTTTGTCCAGGTGCTCCAGTTTCCCCCCATAGTCCAAAGATGTGCAAGTTAGGTGGGTTAGGCATGGGGAATGCAAGGTTACAGGGTAGGGGTGGGTCTGGGTGGAATGCTCTTCAGAGGGTCAGTGTGGACTCGATGGGCCAAATGGTCTGCTTCCACACACTGGGGATTCTATGAAGGCTGTAGAGTTCCCAAGCACAAAATGAGATTTTGTTCTTTGAGCTTGTGCTGAGCTTTGCTGGAGCACGCAGCAAGCCTGAGACAGATGTTGGCCAGGGAACAGGGTGGTGTGTTGAAGTGGCAGGCAACTGGAAGCTCAGGGTCTTTATTGCAGATAGCAGATAGAACGTAGGTGTTATGTGAAGCGATCACCCAGCTTACACTTCGTTTCCCCAATGCAGAGGAGATCACATCGTGAACACCGAATGCCATAGACTAGGTTGAGTGAAGTGCAGGTAAAGTGCTGCTTCACCTGGAAGGTGTGTTTGGGCCCTTGGAGACTGAGGAGGGATGAAGTAAATGGCAGGTGTTACACCTTCTGCGGTTGCAGGGGAAGGTGCCATGGGGCTGTGAGGGGCTGTTGGGAGTGAAGGAAGAGTGGAACAGGGTGTTGCTGAGGGAAGGTCATTGCAGAAGGCTGACAAGGAATGGGAGGGAAATGTGTGTCTGGTGGTGACATCCCACTGGAGGTGGTGGATATGGCAGTGAATAATCCTCTGGATGTGGATGCTGGTGGGATGGTATGTGAGGACAAAGAGGACCCTATCACTGTTGTGGAGGGAAGAAGAGAGTGAGGGCTGAAGTGCGGGAGATGGGTCACAAAACAGATTTCTTTTTCATATTTACAGAGTCATACCTGAGGGTGCATGGCAAATCTCTGGTTCCTTTTGGGAGACTTGGTGCTCTGCAGCTGCCTCTCCTCCTCTTCACTCAAGAGGCATCTCCTTTTCATGCTTCTTGTTGGCTGAATGAATAGACCATTTTTACAAAAGAAGTCAGATCCACAGACTCAAGAACAGATTTCTATCAATTACTGTCCTACCATCACAAATATATTGTTACAGAGTAACATATATACAAGATCTAAGGAACCTCACCAATTTAGCGACGAATAGCAAAGGTCTTTTCTCTAAGGTGGAGCAGTTCAAGAGGGTATATTTTTAAAAGGCGAGAGGAGAAAGATTTAAAAAGGACATGATAGGCAACTTTTTCCACACAGAGGGTGGTTCGTATGTGGAATGAACTGTCGGAGGAAGTGGTAGATGCAGGTATAGTTACAACATTTAAAAGACATTTGGATAGGTACATGAATAGGAAACATTTAGAGGAATATGAGTCAAATGCAGGCAAGCGGGACTAGTTTTAATTTGGAAATGGACTACTTGGACTGAAGTGTCATACAACATGGAATCAGACCCCAAGTCACTTTCTGCTGAATCAAGGTGCCAACCTCCTCATTGGCTATGTTTCCTATACCTTCTAGCATTTTATCTTTATGACCTTTTCCAGTGTTCAGCAGAGATGAAAAAAAAAAGTACTGATATGGTATTCAACTGTGAGGGCCTCGCAGGCAGACCTGATTATTTCTGCTACCTGGCGTTTGTACATGCACACTCTTCTGGACAATTATCTGGTGCAGGAGCCTAAGCTGATACTCAATTTCAAATAGAAAGTTCTCAGAGCCATTTTCATTGCCAACTACTTTGGAACAGACAGAGAAAGTGGCCTCGGGTCTGCCTGGTTCTCACAGGGCAATGCACTCAGCCTATTAGCTCAATCATCACAGCAGCTAGTGATGAGATTTTATTCAATCAGCTGGGAATAGATGGGAATAGACAGAGGGGTAAGAAAGGCTGCATTTTGGGCTGGGAAGAGTGTAAATGGGATGCCAGTATTATTCTTCTCCATATTTGTGTCGGCACAAACCTGGGATCACACTGACTGTGGAACACTCAGACATGGCCCCTTTGGGTTGGTGGAATGTATCAGGGACAGAAATCATGGACCCCAGTGCTGCCCCTAGCCCATCATAGGCACAGTGGGCCCTGGATATTGGTCCTAGTAGAAATTGGGGGCGATATGGTTGGGGGAGGCTCAAGACATGATCTGGACAGATCTTGGCTTACACTTCTGCAGTCTGCAAATTCCATACAATTACTTCTGAGCATTGATTGCACTTTTAACCAATTAATAGCAGAAGACAAACAAACCAAACACAGAGCAAATACTTCTTCCTCCATTTCAGTGACACAACTCAGTGTAGTGAGGAATAATAGCATCCTCAGAAGATCCAACCAGGTCATTCACAACTGCAAAGAGTTCAAACTGGAAACTCAATGTGAATAAGTTTACAGCATGAGAACTACCAGCAGGTCAGGATTTAAATAAGAGGTTGCTCTGCTGACAATGAACTCTGGTTTTAAAAGCTGTAAATTTGGGCGGAGGAAGCTGAAAGAATACACCGAATGAACCTTGAACCTTAGTGACAAACTGTGTCAATAAATGGCTAGTATATTCCTGCTACAACAGTTGAGTTAATGTGGTACTATGGCTCAAAACTCATATGAAGCTCGTTCACACGCTCGAGTTCTGAGGCAGATCTCCAGATCAATGTGACCCTGGCATAAATAGTCTGGTGACACAATCATTGTTGTTACTTAGTGGGATTCTTTAGCTTGGCTGCGATGTTTTGCTGTTAATCTCACCTTTCTGGACACTGATCAATAACCCTGCCGGGCCTCTTGCAAAAATATGCGCAGGTCAGCTGGGGAAGAAATAAGGTCAGACAGTTGTATATTTGAGCACCCAGGGCACAAACCAGTGTGAAATGGACAGCATTCTGCCTCAATTTTTGAAAAAATTGTTTTGTTTCAATAGCAAAGTAAGACAGCCAGAACTATCCTATTGTATTAATTCATAAAATGTTCAACCTACAAGTTCACCCTCAAAGTTCTTCATTTACTTTACTGTCACCTTTGTTATTCAGAATTTACAATACAGAAATAGGCCATTCAGCCCAACTCGTCAGTGTCTATATTCAATTTGAGGTGCCTTCCAACCCATTTCGTTATTTGCGATTAAACAGTGGACCTTCTGACTCAATGTAAGTAACACCAAAGGAGATTTCCTGGTCTGGGGATGAAATTATCCGTGTTCCAAATTCCCTCATGGCCTTGTCCCCGCTGATCTCTACAACCTCTACCAAGCTTACAATCCTCTGATTTCCCCGTCATCCTCCAAGATGGGTCACTTGTGCACCCTCTCCCAACAGGGCTTCCGCTGCTCAGGTCTCAATCTCCACATTTCTCTTATGATCCCAGTAATACCAGACCCAGTCAGATCCCATGGTTAAGACCTGACAGGAATATAGGAACAGAAATAGACCATGCAACCCCTCAAGCCTGTTTTGGCATTCAATAAGATCATGGCTAATCCATTGCCTCCCTCGGGGCCCATATCCATTGATACCCTTGCCGCATAAAAATTTGCCTATTTCAGATTTAAATTTAAACAGAATAAACATCAACCACCGTTTGAGAAAGAGAGATCCAAACCGCCATGGCTCTCTGGATGCTTTCCACCATCTCACCTGAATGGCCAGGCCCTAATTCTTAGGCATTGCCTTCTGGTTCTAGAATCTTCAACCAGTGGAAATAGTTTATCTTGATCTATCCTGCTTTTCTCCGTTAATATCCTGAAGATCTTGATTAGATCATCCCTTAATTTTCTAAATTAGAGAGAAAGAAAGGCAAATCTCTCTAATCTCTCCTCATAATTTAATCTAACCCCAGGTATTACCCTTGTAAACCTGCACTAAACTCCCTCCAGAGACAAAAAATCTTTCTGAACATGTGGTGCCCAGTTCTGTTCGTAGTCGACGAAGTGGGGTCCAACTAAGGTTTTGCATAATTGCAGCATAACGTCTGCAGCCGTATACTCCAGCCATTGAGATATGATGGGCAGCATTCCATTAGCCTTCTTGGCTATTTTCTGCACTAGTTTTGGAATTTTAAAGAGTTACGCACCTGAACCTTCAAATCCCATTGGGCATACACTGTATTTAACTTTCTGCATTCTAAAAAAAAATCCCAATCTATCCTTTTCGGTCCGAGAAAGATAACCTCACACTTGCTTATATTAAAATCCATCTGCCACAGCTTTCCCCAACTTACCTTAATCTAACAGAACAAAGATCAAAGATCAATACAGCACAGAGGCAGACCCTTCGGCCCTCCAAGCCTGCGCCAATACATTTTGCTCTTCCATACTAAAACAGTCTTGCCTTACAGGATCCGTATCCCTCTAATCCCTTCCTATCCATGTACTCGTCCATGTGTTTCTTGAATGGTGCTCGTGTCTGCTTCCACCACCTCCTCTGGCAGCACGTTCCACACACTCACCACCCTTTGTGTGAAAAACTTGCGTTGGCACATGTCTTTTAAACTCGACGCACCACACCCTCCCCCCACCCCACAACCCCCAAACCCCATAGCACCACCTCCCCGCACCTTGAACCTGTGTCCCCTAGTAACTGACCCTCCACTCTGGGGAAGAAAGCCTCATACTTTCCACTCTTTCCATGCTATTTACAGTCTTTTAAACTTCTATCAGGTCACCCCTCAACTTCCTGCACAAGCCCAGTCTATCCAACCTTTCTTCATAGCTGGTAAACCTTTTCTGTATCCTTTCAAAAGCATCCACATCCTTCTAGTAGTGTGGTGACCAGAAGTGTAACCTAACTAAAGTTCTATAAAGCTATAGCATAACTTGCCTATCCTAATACCTTCATTGGAAGGGGCATTGAGTAAGTATGCCATAGGCCTTTTTCACTACCTTACCTACTTGCACTCCCACCTTCAGTGATGTGTGGACCTGCACACCCAGATCCCTTTGCATATCAATACTCAGAAGGGTTCTGCCATTCACTGTATATTTTCCACCTGTACTTGACCTTCCGATATTCTGCAGTAATTTTATGCAGTCGTCAATACTTCTACAATGCTGCCCAATTTTGTGTCATCAGCAAATTTGGATATTTGACTTTTTATGCCATTATCGAAGTCATTAATGGATACTGCGAATAAATGAGGCCCCAATACAGATCCCTGCAGGTTATTACAAGTCACATTCTGCCAAGTTGAATACCTACCCATTATTCCAATTCTCTGTTTTCTGCCACTGAAGCAATTTCCTATCCATAAGTAATTTGCCCTCAATTTTGTGGATTTTCGCTTAGCTAATGGCCCCTTATACAAGACATATTGAAAGCTTTCTGGAAGTCCATATGAACTACATCCATCAACTTACCTCTGTCTGCCACTGATGTTACCTCTTCAAAAAACTCTTGGAGGTTTGTCAGGCATGACCTACTCCATGCTGATTCTCCCTGATTAACTGAAATTTCAAGCTAATCAAGTTACCCTATCCTTGATTACAGACTCCGACAATTTTTCCCCACCACAAATGCTGAGCTAACTGGTCTGCAATTCCCTGGCTTTCCCTTGTCACCCTTATTAAAGTGACATGAACAAACTTCCAATCCAGAGGTACAACTCCTGAATTCAGGGAAGTCTGAAAGATTATGGTTAGGGGCACTGGCAGTGTGCTCTACTACCTCTTTTAATGCCTTTCGATGGAAAGGATCAGCTCCTGGGGATCTGTCACACTTCAGTTCCATTAATTTCACCATTATTGATGATTTACTTAAGCTAATTTTTTTAAATCCTGTGGCTGATCCTTCGTTAATTTCTTTGGGACTTCCAGCAAGCTACCCTCCGTTTCTAGTGTGAATACTGAAGCAAAATAAATCGTTCAGCATGTCTGCAATTTCCCCATGGTTCTTGACAAATCCCCACTCTCAATCTTTAGTGGGTCAACAATACTCTTAACTAGTCGCTTTCCTTTTATATAACTATTAAATCTCTTCTTATCGTCTTTCTGTCCCTTGCATGTTTCCTTTCATAATCCTGTTTAGCTGCTTTTAGAAGCCGCTGCGGGACCATTTTTTGGTCTTTGTATTTGTCCTATTCTGTGGGATCTGTACTGGTTCTTTGCCTGTTCTTTAAATTTTATGCTGCCCCTTATCTCCCTAGATGTACATTGCTGTTTTTTTGAGAGGTGAAGCTTTCCCTTCTCATGGGTACAAAGTGCTTGTGAATAGCTTCAAACACCCCTGCTATTCCTCAGTTGTTTTACTATTAACAGAACTTCCCAATTTACTGTGGAGTCCCTGTTTATCCCACTAAAGTCTGCCTTACTAAACGCATAATTCTAGGATCTAATCTTTGTTCATCTCTCACACAAAACTTTATCATGTTATGATCACTATTTGACAGATGCTCATGAACAACTAGGTCACGAATTAAATCAGGCTCATTGCTCATTACTAGATCCAATATTGTTTGTCCGATTGTCACATCAAAGACATTTTGCTGTAGGAAACTGTCCCTGCACACTAGAAATTCACAAAAACTTTCTGCTTCATAGATCATTCATTTTATTTTTGCTATTTGTTTCCTATGGTGATCAGTCACTGAACATAATTTCCCAAATTTCCACAGATTTCCAAAGTATTTTTAACCAAAAAAAGTTTATTTTACTCGAAAGAAATAAAAACAATTTTACATTATACAGGAGCTAAATGAAACAGATTTGTTACAAATATCAGAAATAAAGATTCAATCCTTTTACTGTGAAGAATCTTACAGACATTCAAACATCAGTGAAATGTGACACTTTAAAAAATCCGTCTTCAGTTGACACAGTTGTAGTTGTTTATTTTTGGCAAATTTCTGCATTTAGTCAATGTCTCCTCCCGAGACTCAAACTGCTAACATAGCTCACTTATTTCTTAACATAGGTTCCTTAAACTCCTCTTCCATACCTTGTTTCTGGAGCTTCTCTCTTACTGACTTTCATCCACTCAGGACTTATTTTCTTCGGCATTGATTGTTTTGAAGAATACTAAACTGAAGTGCTCGTTTATAGATCTTTTGTCTTTGAATGTCCTGTTTCTCTGAAAGAAACCTGCATAGGCACTGTCCTCCTGGTTAGTTCTGTCTTTCCAAAATAACTTCTCTGTCTTAGTCTCAGTCTCCCTGTGTCATAAGATACCTTAGTGCCAAGCAATAGTCCTGTTTTCCCTCTTCTCCACTGTTTTCTAAAGCACTGAACTATTCTCTTTAAGTATGTTTTAAAGCCTCATTCAAATGCATGTAAACACATTTCTAGACAACAGTCCACTACTCTCAGTACTCAAAAATGAAACAAAAACATCTTTCCCTTAACTCATATAATATGGGAGATACATAAACTAATGTAATACGTAGTTCTTCCACTTCAAATCCAAGTTTTCAAATAGTAATAACAATATCACAACCTTCAGCACACTCTCCCTAAGCCTTTCCTCCCTGAAAATGCTTCTTAAGACATCTCTCTTGTACCAAGAGTTACGACAACTGTCAAATTTTCTTTTGCTCTGTGTCAATTCTTTGTTATTATGCTTTTGTGAAGTATTGTGACATAGTTTACTCCACTGAAGGTGCTCTAACAAATGAAACTTGCTATTTTTTTGTTGGACCAAGCAGGGAATCAAGCTACATATAGAACTGAGAGAAGAATGGTCAGTTCACTTCATACTAATCCATTTGCTGTAGACCTGAACCAGTTTTCTTTCACATGTCAGCTGGCTGTCTCAAGAACAGAATTGTATAAAAGTTGTCCACATTTTATCATGATCATACTGGGCTGAGAATCCCAGTTATATCATCAGGTACACCATTTCTTTTCATAGCAATATTTTGCAGAGAGAAGGGAATACACTCCCTTTCATCTCTCCCAGCAAACAGTAAAAACCAGTCACAAAGATGACAAATAGAATAAAGTGCCTTACAGTCTCAACAAGAGAGCAGGCGTTTCTTCCTTTCCATGGAGGAGTCTTGGATAACGCAATGTATTTCTCATTCCATGTACTGGACAAGCTTCCTTCTGTTGGAGACAAAGGCACCGATCTCAGAAACAACTTTCACCCTTTCTTGCTGATGCCTGGCAAATACATATGGTTGAAAGTTGTACATAGAGAGAGTGGGGAGACAACACTAGCTTGGAGTTCAGTTAGCAGCTTGGTGGAGCTAGCCACAGAAACGATTGCTCTTTTCTGCCAATGCTCTGATTCAGAGTGATCCTCTTAATACCTGACCTCTCGGTGCTGCCAACAGCAACCAGCTGTGAGCCCCCACCCATACTGCCATCACTTGCCTGAATGTTGTATACACCTTAAACGCTCAGGTCAGCCCACATTCGGAAGCACAAAACACTAACTATTCAGACAGGCAGGTTATTTATGCCAGGCCGTTCAACTTTCTTCTAATCTTGTGATAACACTGGCAATACAGCTCAGGTCAGGCTGTGCACCATTCGTGACATGATTTTAGAGTTAAACACACACACAAAAGTGGATTCTAAAGATAGTGATGTTATATATGTTTACATAAAGATTTCCCGTATTCCTGGCAATAAACTAAAAAGGTCATATTCGGTCTTCACTGAGAGCTGATGCTCACCATTGCCTTTTTCAGAATACAACCGACCAACTGTGGCTTTATGTTACAATTTTACATTGTGATTGCCATCCTTCCACTTTGTAAAAAAATTCACAATTTTGTTAGAATGAATGTTAAAAATCAAATTTTCCATGCTGCATGTAGGAATTTCTAATTCCCCAAAGACAATAGAACAGCACAGAAACCAGAGTTTATTTGAAGGCCACTCCAATAAGATCATAAATTGCGAGCGCAGTTTGAGCAGTGCATAGTCTGGACACAGAAGGTGGGTTAAACTTTTGAAATGATACGATCGTTGGGGTATGGCTGTAGAGTGGTTACCTTTCTAATAATTTAGAGGGCTCGGCTAATGATTGAGAGAGACAGGTTCAAATCCCACCACTGCAGCTGAGGAATTCAAATCCAGTTAATATAAATTGATCAATAATAAATGGCCCTAATTCCGATGAATCATTCCAGTGATTTGTACAGGCTTAGTGTTATCTCTGCTTTTTAAATTTTTCCCCTCACCTTTCGATTTGATCACCATTTAATCTCCACGACCAATGGTTGCATTAAAAAAAATTATAATATTTGAGAAGGAAATCTGCCATTGTTACCTGGTTTGGCCTGAGAGTTCAGACTCACAGCAAAGTGGTTGTCTCTAAACCGCTCACTGAAAACAGCTAGCAAGCCACACGGTCATAAACTAGAAGGCCTTTCCAAAGATCGTAGGGCTGGAGAGTAAATGCTGGCTTTATTAGTAATATGTACAAAAAATTTTAATGCAGTATATTCAAGACTCAGTTGGAATGCATATATTTCAAAAAACCTGCAACCATTAGGTTGGTCGTGGAGATTAAACAGTGATAAAATAGAAGGACAGTGAGAAAAACTAAAAAGCAGAGATAACGCCAAGCCCATATAAATCACTGGAATACAGCATCCACTTCTGGGCAAAGTATTTGCAAAGCCCTGTTTGGAGTCCTATCTGGAATATTTTTTATTGTACTGCACACCCTACGTTAGAAAGGATATAACGCAGGGAATGTAGATTCACCAAATCATTGCCAGAGCTTTGAGAGGGTTAGAGTAACAGCAGCAATTATTTGAATTGGATCCACATTGTTTGGTAAGTAGAATTTTAATGTATAATTTGATTCAAAAGTCAATAATTTTGGAAGAATTGAGAGGGTAAAAAAAATGGAAAAAAAGTGTAAAAAAATTGAACTATTGGAGATTTCTGGGACAAATGGACATTATTGTAAAATCTGAACAAGGTCTTCGGACCTTTTTTTTAAAAACCGTTTTAAATAAGAGACTGACAATATTTCGGGACCATGGGTAATAAGAGTGAAGTTTGATGGGCACAGTCAGTTATAATTCAACTCTGGTCTCACTGAACGGCCTCCTCCTGCTTCCTTGATAAGTTACAACTCACTCAGCATGTTGAATTAAATGTAGTGCCCCAGATTAAGCATTATCTTGGATGACCAGCTACAATCTGAACACCATGAAGAGACAAACAAAACTGGAACAGATCATTTTTAGATTTCAAGAGAGTGGCACCTCATGAAGCCTTCCTACAATCACCCTGCTCAATCAATGTCTCCTTCATCCTGGAAACAAACTTGGTTTCTCATGTCTTCAAGAATTTGGCATGGATAAGGGAGTTGGTTTTAGTACTGTAAACACCTATTGGGGTAGGGGCAGTGAGTGGGTTATCAACCTACAGGATAGTGGAATCCAAATTAAACACAGCACCACTATTATTGAATAGGTTTCCAGGTTCAATGTTCCCACAGTTTATCACCAAAAGTAACCACTGCAGGACGATGTGTCTGATGACAAGTTCATTTCAGTCACAGAACCCATAGTGTGAAAGCAGGTCATTTGGCCCATTGAGTCCACACCGAAAGAACCAACCCCCTCCCCTTTCCCTGCATTTCCCATAATTCATCTCCCCTGCATGCCCCAAACATTTTGGAGCCGATTTAACATGCCCAATCCACTTAACTCACAAATCTTTGGACTGTGGGAGGAAGCCTACGCAGACACAGGGAGAACGTGCAAACTCCACACAGATAGTCGCCCGAGGGTGGAGTCGAACCTAGGTCCTTGGTGCTGTGAGGCAGTAGTGGTAACCACTGAGCCACCATGTCAAGAGGTGAGAGTTGCTATTTTAATGATTCAGTTGGGGGCTCTGCTCATGGAATAGTGGAAGTAAAAAGTGCTCACAAATCAGCTCAAGGCTAACAATGCTAGTCAGTCAGCTGCGTGGCAAATTGAATACCATATATTTAGCAGAAAAGCTGGTGTTTCAGAAAGCCTGAGATGAAGGCCAAAGAGAAATGGTGCAATATTCTGGTAGTGTCCCTACCTCTGAGCCAGGAGACACCTGCTCCAGAAGGTGTGAAATAACATCAGATGGGTTGATTAAAAAATTTCCACACTGGACCTTGCGCCTCATTAACAATGGCTCAAATCTAGTCAAAACTAAAGGTGTGAAACATTTCCTCCATTGACTGGAAGGTACCACGCGAAATAGTCTGGGCAGTGTCAAGACAGTTTCTTAGGTTCTAGGTGGCTGAAACACTGTTTCATTCTCAGTGGCAATCTCATGTAATAGGCCAATGGATGGCTTGGTAAGAAAGAAAATCCGTACAAGAAAAAGAGCAGTGTGCGGGAAGTAGAAACACAAAAATAAAATCTCTCACCTTTCAAACTCACGAGAGCCTTCGCTGAAGAGCCTGTAAGTGGAAATGATTGACAGTTAGTTCACAAGAGATGGACTGAATTTCCAAAACATTAAAAAAAAAACTTTTCATTCATTCATAGAGGATTCAAATCAGACACACAATGCTCTCAGAAATCCTTAGTATCATTCCAGTTTAGCAATCACTACTAGTACTTTGACAGCAGCTCTGCCCACTTACGCAAACATTTACAGTAACTAAGAGATAGTAAGAACTGCCTATGCTGGAGTCTGAGATAACACAGTGTGGAGCTGGAGGAACACAGCAGGCCTGGCAGCATCAGAGGAGCAGGAAAGCGGACGTTTCCGGTCGGGACCCTTCTTCAGAAATGGGGGAGGGAGTCGGGCTGGGGAAGGTAGGTGGGATGGTGATAGGTGAGGGCAGGTAGGCAGTGGTGGGGATTGGTCAGTGCGGTGGGAGGAGCTGATAGGTGGGAGAGAAGATGGACAGGTCAAGGAGGCGGGGATGAAGGAGGGTTGGTCAAGGGATGAGGCCGGGGGTGGTCCATGTGGTCTATTGTATCCACTGCTCCCGATGTGGCCTCCTCTACATCGGTGAGACCAAGCAGAGGCTTGGAGACCACTCTGTAGAGTGCCTGCGCTCAGTTCGCGAGAAACAACACCTTCCAGTCGCGAACTATTTCAAGTCCCCTTCCCACTCCCTGGATGACATGTCCATCTTGGGCCTCCTCCAAAGTCACAACCCGGAAACTGGAGGAGCAGCACCTCATATTCCGCCTTGGGAGCCTACAGCCCAATGGTCTCAATGTGGACTTTACTAACTTCAAAGTCTCCCCAACCCCGACCTCATCCCATGACCAATCCTCCCTCTCATCCCTGCCTCCTTGACCTGTCCATCTTCTCTCCTATCTATCTGTTCCTCCCACCTCACTGATCAATCCCCACCACTACCTACCTGCACTCACCTATCACCATCCCCAACCCGACCCCCCCCCCCCTTTTTTTTACAGCCCCCTTCCCCTCCCCCCTTTCTGAAGAAGGGTCCCGACCCGAAA